CAACCCTAACTTACCGCGTTCGTCAAAAAGCTCCGCTTACTACTCCAGGCTCTCTAATATTTAAGTAAGCTGAGGATATTAGTTTTCTGGCGATCTCTATAGAAGACAGACGTGGTAAGTTGAGTTCCATCAATTTCAGAAATAAACAATTTTCTAACACAGTTGTATTCTTTTATTTCCCGCTCCACAGAAAATCAGCCCAGCTATCCCGAAATTAACACTGGTCCTTAAAACCGGATTTTCTCGAAGAAGGGAAATTAAGACAACGACGCATTGTTGGTGAAAATTTAAAATTCCGTACATCAATCAACTGCAAACAAACAGGTACAATTTTAAATTTTAAAGGGTGCATTTCCACCAATTCGTTCTGCATCTACGGTAAAGCGATAAGAAAATATCTAAGCAAAAGTGAGGGTTGAAACTTATTTTGGCAGCTCGCTTTTGCATAAAAAAAAAATTTAAAGGTCACAAAAGACAATTCTTTGTTAGTGTACTTCGATAAGTACAATACCTATATATACTTGGTTAAAATTTTAAATAAATACCGCTTCTTACCATACCATTACATACATTACCGATATACGTACATATGTACACATATTGTACATAAAATTATTATTTACCACCTATTTATGTACATGTACATAAAATAGTTTAACTCTCGCTTTCACGTCGATTATTCTTAACATATATAATTCGCGAAGTTTCAAGCAACACTCGCCTTTAGAGGGTTGGAGTAGAATATACATATGTACATACATACATATGTATATACAAAATAAAAGAGATAAAGCTTAAACGGAACTATTTTAAAAGCGGTAACTATTTATTAAAAGGAAGAGAAAAGCGAGAGAATTTGTTTTTCTTAACGCGAACACCGGAAAGTAGAGATCCGAACACTCTTAACTCGTTGAAAATTCAAGAGTTTCTCACGCGTCCTTCTTTGTGCTAAATTCGCAACTTTGTTTGTTTTCCACTAATAAAGCATATTTATATGTACGTACATATAAATTACATATTATCGCTACGATTAGCGAACACCTAAAATACTTCCGTATTTATATGCTGTAACGCGCGTGTGAATTGAAAAAAAAAAAAAAAATAAAAAAAAAATATATATATACATCAAAGACCTAAAGGAAAACACAGAGTATCACAGCAGCAGTGTGGGAGTTAAGCTGAACAACAACAACAACAGCGCATACGCATTCAAAAGGGAGTCTACCCAGCAACCAAACAACAGTGGGCAAACATCGGCCAAAAAATGAAATAAAAATTTGTAATTGGTGTTCATAAATAAATTATTTGCTTTTAATTTGAATTGTACATATAATAATTAGTAAAATAATAAATATCTACAGTGAAGCGATTGCAGTTTTGGTGTATTCTTTACAGCCAACCCTTAAAGTTGTGACTGTTTATAGCAAGTGCGTGTATGTTGTTGCGATAAATACAATAAAAAGCGCTAATGAAATAAAGATTTTTTTCTGACACCTTTTCTGTGTGGTAAATACTGTGCGGTTTCAATGCAAGCTGTTAAACGTAAATTGGAGTTCGTTTAAGTTTTTTTTTTAATTAATGCTCATCTGATTCGCGTTACAACTAAAGCAATTTAATCGTCCAAGAACACAAAAAATTTAATAGATAAATTAAATAATATTTAGTTGTCCGGTGCTTAGAATTTATAACGAAATTCGGTGTTTCTCTTAAATTTTAACGTTCTAACGCTGCACTTTTGTAAAGTCTCGATCATTACTAAACGTTCAATAATTATTTCATTAAATATTCATTTACAAAGCCTTTGTCCATCGATCATTTATCGATGTATATATAAGTTAAGGCTGAATACAAAAATTGTTTGTCGAATTTTAATACAACGAATACAGATCACGAGGCTACTGTAGAATCCATCAAGCTCAAATATTCCAACTGCTACCAAGCATATGTTTGATGCGGAGCTTTAATGGGTGAACTTATACATAATCTCACGGCCTTTAATCAAAATACAAACTCGACTATTTTTCAACCTGAACGGATGGTTGAGATGCCAGTGCTGCCTAGTATCCACCTACCTCCATGCGATACCGAAATATTTCATGGTGATTATCTACAGTGGCCCTCCTTTAAGGACATGTTTACCGCCATTTATCGGAACAACGCTAGATTATCTCCGGTGGAAAAACTTGTCCATCTTAATCAAAAAACTCAAGGTGAGGCGAGGGAAATAGTACAGAAAGCCCCCCTCACTAATGATGGGGTTGCGTTAGCATGGGCGAATTTAACTGCGAGGTATGAAAATAAACGAGTTGTTATAAACTCTCAATTGAAAATATTGTTCAATTTGCCACATATCTCCTCAGACTCAGGAGCAGCGCTGAAAAAATTGCAGCGCGAAATTAATAGCTGCATTTCGGCGCTAAAACTGCAGGGCATAAACATTGAATGTTGGGATGCGGTTTTCACATATTTGTGTTCAACTAGGCTCCCCGAAAATACTCTTGCCCTATGGGAACAAACCCTGGAAACAAAAACAGAGATACCAAAATGGGTGGACTTAGACATATTTCTAACCAATAGGTTTCAAACGCTTGAAACAGTTTCCGATCACAAGGGAAACTCTAACGTCCATCCCAAAGCCAGCATATCAGCTAATAGTAATCGGTCAAACAACTTCAAGCAATATAATCAAATGCAAACAAAGAGAGTAAATACCCATCTCGTTAAGACGCATAATATCAGATGCAAAATCTGTTCTTCGCAAGCTCATATCCTAAAAACTTGTCAAAGGTTTTTGGATATGAGTCCCAATGCAAGACTTAATGCCGCGAGAAAACACCACCTCTGCCTTAACTGCTTGTCAGATGCACATGAAATAAATGACTGCAAGAGTAGTTTCACGTGTGCCAAATGCAAAAAAAGGCATCATACTATGCTTCATAGAGAGCAAATTGAAGAACCGTCTTCCTCAAATACAGAACAGACGCCGACTAAGTCCCATACGGCATCCGTCAAAGCAATTACTTCCAATTGCCCTATTGACAATAAGCGATGTATGCTCCTAGGGACTGCCATGGTGACCATTTGTCACAGAAATAACACATACACTGTCAGAGCCTTATTAGATTCAGGATCTGAGGGGACTTTTATCTCTGAAAGCCTACAAAAGCGCCTCAATCTGCCTAGCAAGGGTATACGCGCACAGGTATCCGGGCTAAACGAAGCCATCTCTGGAAGGGTACAGCAAGTTTGTACCTTCAGCATTTGCTCCCCTCGTAACAAGGGTTTCCGAATAAAGGGGGATGCTTTGGTACTTCCAAAGCTGACAGGTCTACTGCCATCACATTCAATCAGTGACGCTATTTTAAAAACGCTTCCTGACATCCCACTGGCAGACAACAACTTCACAACAAGAGTCAACATATTGACTTATTAATTGGTGGAGACCTTTATCCAAAGGTTATTTTAAATGGGATAAAGAAGAATATCCTCGGCTCTCTCATGGCTCAACGCACGGTGCTCGGATGGATCCTAACCGGACCCGTGACAAGTGGAAATAACTTAAACACCACTTACTCAACATATTTTAATGAGGTCTCACTAGATCAACAACTCACCAAATTTTGGGAGTTAGAAGAAGTACCAAAGACTAAGCTTCTTACGGTCGAAGAAGAGCAGTGCGAGCGGTTCTATACAGATACCACCTTCCGCAATGAAGAAGGTCGGTATGTAGTTTCGCTCCCTTTCAAACATTCACCTCCAAGGGCATATATAGGCGCTTCTCGTCATATCGCGATGAGGCAATTTCTAAGAAGTGAAACGTCTCTAAGCAAAAAACCCTTAATAAAGGAGGAATACAGCAAGGTTCTTCAAGAATATTTGGATTTAGATCATATGCACGAAGTTCGATATGACAAATTCGAAGATCCTTCTAATAATTACTATCTTCCACATCACGATGTTCATAAAGCTGAGAGCACCACTTCGAAGCTGCGAGTGGTATTTAACGGGTCTTGTCCCACTTCGAATGGAGTCAGCCTAAATGATATTTTATACACAGATCCTCCTCTCCAAACCGATTTGACAATTTTAATTGTAAGATGGAGATTACTTAGATATGTATTCAATGCGGACATCGAGAAAATGTACCGACAAATAGTCGTGAACCCCAAGCACACCACATATCAAAGAATCCTCTTTAGAGATTCTTTAGAAGGGGAGATCAAGGACTTTCAGTTAGACAAGGTCACCTTCGGTCTCAATTGCGCACCATATTTGGCAATTCGCACTTTGTTGCAGCTGGCTAAGGACACGAAGTTGAAATATCCCCTAGCATCAGAAATCCTTAACTCTAGTACATATGTGGATGATGTTCTAGCTGGCGCACATGACATACCTGAGGCAGTTAAAGCACGAGACCAACTTATTGAGGCCTTAAACTCGGCAGGTTTTCCACTAAGAAAGTGGACTTCAAACATAAAACATATTCTCTTAGGCCTGCAAAGAAATCACCTACTAGCTACTGACTTTCTTGAAATACACAATACCAGCGAGGCTAAGACATTAGGCATCCGACGGAACGCAAAAACGGATCAGTTTTATTTCTTGGCAAAATCTTTGGATAACAAAGACTCGTTTACAAAACGAGAAGTCTTGTCCACAATTGCCAAATTATTCGATCCCGCAGGCTGGTTAAGTCCAATTACTGTGGTAGCAAAAATTCTGATGCAGCAAATTTGGCTAGAAAAAACAAAATGGGATGAACAGTTGAATCAAAAAACTCTCCATCAATGGAAGACGTTTCTGGATAACTACCCTCATATTAATTCTATAAGAATCCCCAGATGGGTGAGTTATAGGCCAAACTGTCACATACAGTTTCACGGGTTTTGCGACGCGTCAGAAAAGGCGTATGGAGCTGCTATTTGTATTCGTGTGCAGGATGCGAGTTTAAATGTTCAAACACATTTGCTTCTAGCTAAAACAAAGGTGGCTCCTGTAAAAACCATCTCTATACCGAGATTAGAATTATGTGGAGCAGTTCTTCTATCTAATATGGTGGATTTTCTTCTGCCCCAAATGGGTATAGATTACCAAGGGTTATACTTCTGGACGGATTCCACAATCGTTCTCGCTTGGTTAAGCAAGCCACCATGCTCGTGGTCTACATTTGTAGCCAACTGAGTTTCCAAAATCGCAGAAAGTACAAGAATAGAAAACTGGAATCATGTTAACTCCGAAGAGAACCCCGCAGACCTCGCTAGTTGTGGTCTCTTTCCTCAAGAGTTAAACGAAAATAAACTTTGGTGGCATGGTCCCAAGTGGCTTAAACTCAGCCAAGCAAATTGGTTAAAACCCCAATACAATGAAAACTTTGAAACCACACTCGAGGCAAAGGCTATTCGGGTCCATACAGCGTCAGTGCTTCCATTCGAAGATATTTTAGAACGCTTTTCAAGCTTTTCAAGGGCCATTCGAGTAATTGCTCGAATTTTTAGGTTCTTTAAACGGGAAAAAAGTCCACGATTCTATCGTTGACCCCGTTCATAGACGACGGCGGACTTCTGAGAGTCGGCGGCCGCTTAAATAACGCTCCTTCAATGAGCTTCGACGAACGACACCCAATCATATTGCCATATGGCTGCCATTTTTCCATACTAATGGTAAAATTTATTCACTTGGTCTCACTTCACGGCGGCAACCAGCTAGTCCTGCGTCTTTTACGCATGCGATATTGGATTGTGAAAGCTAAGAATCTCATTAGATCCACTATACACAATTGCAAAACTTGCGTTGTGTATAAAAAACGGGAGCAAACCCAACTAATGGCTGCTCTTCCAGCATCAAGAACGCAAATAACGAGACCCTTTGAAACCACGGGTGTCGATTTCACCGGCCCATTTGACGTGAAAAACTTCACAGGTCGAGCGTGTTTGATTACAAAGGGCTATGTATGTGTATTTGTATGTTTTTCTACAAAGGCCATACATCTTGAAGCCACAAGCGATCTTTCAACCGCCTCATTTATGGCAGCCCTGTCAAGATTTGTTTCTCGCCGAAGTTGTCCAAATCACATATATTCAGATAACGGCACAAGCTTCGTAGGAGCTTCACGAGAAATCAAAAGAGATTTTAAGGCATTTCTATAGTCATGGCCCGAAGCCATAGCCAACAGCGGTAATTTTTCGGAAATAAATTGGCATTTCATTCCTGCAGGGGCTCCTCATATGGGAGGCTTGTGGGAAGCAGGAGTTAAAAGATTCAAAACCCACTTCCGGAAAATTGCAGCTTCAATGAAATACACATTCGAAGAATTATCTACTCTACTAGCCAGAATAGAAGCATGTTTAAACACTCGCCCCATAAGTCCAATGTCGGATAACATTAGTGATTTCACACCGCTTACTTCAGGACACTTTCTGGTTGATGGAGGAGCGAAAGCGGAACCGGAAATCAATGATAACCCCATATCGTTGGTCAATCGATGGCAAAAGTTAAAAGCCATGAACCAGATGTTCTGCCAAAGATGGAAATCTGAATATTTATCAGAATTACAAAAACGGCATAAGTGGAAATATCCGCACAGAAACCTAAGTGTCAACGACTTAGTAATTATCCGCGAAGAAAACATACCTCCAAACGAGTGGAGATTAGGCAGGATAGTAAAGATTCATCCCGGGTCAGATGACAAAGAGCGAATCGTTGACGTTCAAACACAGCGCGGTATAATAAGTAGACCAGTAGTCAAACTAGTTCTTTTACCAAACGAAACACACTAGATTTTCTTTCAACTAACTATATTTTTCTCCTTTAGAAAATGTCTCAATTCGCCTGTGGTCTGTGTAAGGAAAATCATCCTCTCCGGTTGTGCGCCGAATTCCGCCGAATGACTCCCGAAATACGGTTGAGAACGGCTCTCATATATCGCTATTGTAGCAACTGCCTCGCTTCGAACCATGCCATAAACGAATGTGATAGTGTAATTCGGTTCAAACGATGTGGGAAAGCCCACCATACTATGCTGCATAACCCCGACATAGAAGAAGAAAGTGATGAGGACGTCGTCGAGCTTACTTGGGCACAGCAAGTGGAAGAAGAAGAAGCAATGATGGCGGAAATCGAAAACAGCGGATCAGACGAGCAAATAAATACGAAACCGGAAAACACACTACCGACCAATGCAGCGCTCTTACACCCGTACCGGCCACCACTAAATAGGACGCAATCAGCTCCGCGTTCCACCACGCAGCACTTTCAGCTCGCACCGCTCGATGAGGATCGAGCCAGACTCGATTCGTCTCGCCGACTTCAGCGAGCTGGTGTCTTCCGATCAGACTGGCGGCATGGAAGCGACCGACTCAGACTCGATTCGTCTCAGCGGCGCATCCCTGACCGAACGAGACTCGACTCGTCTCGTCGGCTACCCCAGTCGAAACGAAGGCGTGGTCAAGGTGCCCGTCGTCGACGAAATGTGCGAACTATAATAGAGCGACGATCAGCAGCACTCCCCTGGCAGCAGATGTTGGCGGTATCACCCACGGTGTTAATACGTATACGTACTGCGGATAGGTTCACCGCAGTGCGGGCTGTCCTCAGCCCCGCGAGTCCGGCGACCACAATTTCCGCTGCTACCGTCGCAAGGCTGCGACTCCGTACTCCAGTCCGTGGAGCTGGTGGAGTATGCTATCTCACGCTACGTAATAATCTTGGTAGTCATGAAGAGTTCTCCGTCTGCGCTAACATTGAGACCATCAGCCCAACGCCGACCCCGCTGCGTTCGTTATCGCAACAGACCGTGCAAGCCATAAAGCAGCACCCGTTGAGATGATACTAGGCGCTGATCTCTACGCCAAACTCTTACAGCCTGGCCTGATGCCCTCCATTGCGGGACAGTTGGTTGCACAAAATACGCTACTAGGATGGGTTATTTCAGGCGTGACTCACTAGGCAAGCCTCAACACATTTTAATTGTAATATATGTAGTTAAATTAGAAAATTGTATTAGATAAGTTTATTAAGATGAATTGTACTTTGAATTGCGCTTAATATATGTGAGTATATATATGAACCTCTGAATTGTAATCCACTACCTATGAATCTATTACATAAATTGTGAATTATGCTTTTCGCAGTAATACTGCAAGGCGGGCGGAATGTTCACTCCGTTCGCCAAATTACAACCCTAACTTACCGCGTTCGTCAAAAAGCTCCGCTTACTACTCCA